GGTTTCTTCCTGATAAAAGGGAGTTTTTCCTTCCCACTGTCGTCAAAGTGCTTGCTCATAGGGGGTCATATGATTGTTGGGTTTTTCTCTGTACCTATGAAGCGCCTTGAGGCGACTTTTGTTGTGATTTGGCGCTATATAAATAAAATTGAATTGAATTGAAAATAAAATGAACACTTTCTATGACATTTTGGATTTAAAAAATATCAAAAATTAAACAGAACAACTATAGCAGCACGACAGATGCTTTCCCCCCATGTTAGCAAAACAGTTGCCACAGTGTGGTTCCTCTTTCTTTATCAGCAGCTTCCCTCTAGTGGTGCACTATCTGAACTGACACACTACACTACTGACTGGTAAACAAAAGTCTGGTTACCCTTAGGCAAATCACACTTTGTTTATTTCTGAAAAAAGAAAACATGATTAAAAAATGTATCTTCTCATGTTAAAGCTTTGTACTGCCTTTTGTCCTATAAACTTAATATTAAAGGTCAGGCATTGTGTGTGTAACATGACAGGGGTCTGTAAGTCTTACTTACCCTATTAGCACTCAAGATATGTGGGAAAAGTCACTGAAACCAAAGAGACTCACCTAAGTAACTTAAAAACAACTAACAAAGTAAATATTAGGATTACATGGGGTCATGAAAATACTCCAAGAAAAAAAAAACAATAAAAGAAGAAAACTTATAATAAGGCAAATTTAAAAAAAGAAAAGCTCCTATAAACTAACATGATCCAAATAATATTTCAAATCCACCATGATGTACTTGTAGAAAACAGTCACATACAGCAATCTTGAACAGTTAGAAGGCTGAAATTCATAAATTGGTTCATGGCCTGACGTCTCACCATACTTTACTTTTTTTTTTTTTGCTTGGTTTTTTTTTCATCCCTTTGCTCTCCAGAGTCAGAACTATATCAGCAAAAATTAGTTATAAAGTCACTTGCCTTTCCTCCCAGGTGGAGTTTAGTTCATTTTAATATGATAAACAAACTTCCATTTGTTACTGTGATTTATTTTAATTTTACCCTGATTTTTGACTTTTAGTATTTCTTTTTTTGTTAACTTATTATTAAAAAACAGACTTTTAGTCTCAGACTTTTTAAATAAAGCTTATGAGAATAATAATAATAATAATAATAATAATAATAATAATAATAATAATAATAATAAATTTAAAAATCACCAGGAGGGTGCATTTGGTGAACTGATGACTTTTCTGTTTCTTTTTTAATATAGGAAATGAATTGAGCCTCTGAAATGCCTCTGTACCAGTTGGTAACTACAGCTGAGAGGATAATTCATCTACCAGGTTAAAAAGTGCAATTAAATCTCTTCCTGGTATGTGGAGGGACTTTATTAGGCTATTTTCATTGGATTTGGTACTTTCTGCATAGTTATGCAGAATGTATCACGTGATGAAATCCACGACAGACGCGGGCAACTATTATGACAGTATTAATACTCTCCATGGTGCTGAAAAACCGAGGTCTGTATGTGTTTTCTATTGATTACCCCACTTTGAATGCGTCTTTAAGTCGAGCACTTATTAAATGCATATATACACAAACGCTGCCTTGAAGTCTTTCGACACAAATCACCTCTGATCACTGACGTCCAAAGCAGCAGCCCTCCAGGACGCAGCTGCAGCCGTATCAGCCTGTGTCAGGGCTTTCCACTGTAGTGCTGCATTCTGATGTAGCCCAGCGGATACACAAACGACACGCTCAGACCTCGCGTTCAGTCGCTGTTTTTAATGTCAACGAAGCATCATGACACTTGCTAAGCAGTGGCTGGCCGGATTCGCGCTCCTGTGCATTTATGTTGCAGCTGAATCGAAAAAGAATTTCAAATGCCCTTCAGGATGCTCCTGCACAAAGGAGACCATCATCTGCGTCGGCATTTCACAGATCCCCCACACTATACCGAAAGAGATCAACTCCCTGTAAGTACATTTCTTTGGCTATGAAGAGGGTTATTAAAATCCGTCAGTGAGTCACAAGATAATATTAATACCGCATTCAGAAGAATAATTGACTGCCTGTAGTGGGATTTCGTGCCTGACGTGTCTGGTACAGACTGTTAACATGTCCCTAATGTGTTTCACTCAACAGGAGCATGGTTAATGGATCAATTGCGGAAATTACAGAGGGGATGTTTTCACTTATGCCTTCTCTTCAGCTGCTGTAAGTACCCACTGATTACTTGGTGATTATTGACGTCTTAGAGCAGTCACACCCAAACAAATAAGGCACACGGATTTATTATTGGTTAAGTTGTTTTTGGTTGCTTTATACTGGAAACCAAACAACTAAAAGTTGTTTTTTAAAGGAAAGTTTTAATATTTTAAGCTGTAGAGCTTTTTTTGTTGTTGTTGGGGTTTTTTTGTTTTTTTTACCTTTACAGGCTTCTTAATGCAAATTCTTTGACTGCAATCAAAGATGATGCTTTCTCTGGTCTGCCTCATCTAGAATATTTGTGAGTATTATTAAACAAATTCTTTCATAATCTAAAAAAATCTCAGTCACCAACAACTTTTAAACTTATCCCAATACCCAATGCCCACACCAGTGGAGCAGAAAATCAAAAATAATAAACAGTGCATATGTGCGTTTCAGACATGACAAAATATATTTATCTGTCTCTCGTCATTGACAAATCTGTTCTGTTACTATTCATGGAACAGATTCATTGAAGGGAACAAGATAGAAACCATCACCAAAAATGCCTTTCGTGGTCTACGAGGGTTGACTTATCTGTAAGTTTTGCTGTCATCTTCTCTCCTAATCATGACAGCCGCAACGGCAACATTTCACAGTTAAAGTGAAAAAAACAAAACAAAACAGAATTGTTTTTTTCCTTCTCATTCTTTGTGTTTCTGGTTTAGCTCCCTTGCAAATAACAAGATAAGGTTTCTGCCGAGGGATCTCTTTTTTGACTTGGATTCCTTGCTGGAAATGTGAGTAAGCAGTTGTTGTGTCAGCAGTATGTGGGTGTGTTTAAGAGAGAGAGAGAGAGAG